CATTCAAGTTTTGTGAGGTGATTTCTCTCCATGGGAAAGGTTAATATATCTTCTAGTATTTTAACAAAATATCAAATTACTGTAATTCTTTCGTTTAGCACAGAAAATAGCACCTCAATTTTTCATTATTATTTCTTAAATGAATTTTTAACAGCTAATTTTAGCATGTTTGCCGTATGAAAGATTGTTCTTTCTTTTTATGTCTGAAATACATTTCATTGCAATCCTAGGGCATCTCATAGCTTTTTCTGCCTATCTTTCACATACTGTGGGGGTGACCTTGAGAACAGAGTAATTTCTACGTACCCATTTGTTTGGGATCTTGTCACATAGCTGTTTGGTCCCATACATCATGGTCGGCGGTGCGTTCATAAAAGGGTAGGTCCAGGAGGTGCAATTCCAGCTGCGAAGGAGTAGTTGGCAGTTGCTGTGGCTGGGATAAGTAGGGAAAGCAATCACGCAGGATTTTAAGATCAGCCAGGGAGAGGAGGAAACAGGCAGCCACAGAAGCTGTGAACTGGCTGTTTTGGAGCAAGTGGCAGGGAGCGGATGACCTACTGAGGCAGACATCAGAGATGATTCCTGTTGAGTTTGGTCTTCTGTGAGGGTGTCATTGGGTGGCAGGTTTCTTTGAGGGTGGTGTTATTTCAGAAGAATTGTATTGGGTTAGCGTGACAAGGTTTTGGTAGCAGGGGGAGGGTAGTGTGGTGGCTTTTGTGAGAAGCTGCTAGAAGCTTCCCCTGTGTCCGACAGAGCCAACGCCAGCCGGCTCCGAGAGGGACCCGCTGCTGGCCAAGGCTGAGCCCGTCAGTGACGGGGGTAGCACCTCTGGGATAACGTGCTTAAGAAAGGGGAAAAAAACCACCCAAACCCTGTGGAATTGCAGCTGGAGAGAGGAGTGACAATATGTGAGAGCTCACCTCTGCAGGCACCGAGGTCAGTGGAGGAGGAGAGGGAGGAGGTGCTCCAGGGGCCGGAGCAGAGGTTCCCCTGCAGCCCGTGGGGAGGCCCGTGGTGAGGCAGGCTGTGCCCCAGGGGCCCCTGGAAGGTCCACAGTGGAGCAGATCTCCACCTGCAGCCCCCGGAGGACCCCACGCCGGAGCAGGGGGATGCTCAAAGGAGGCTGTGACCCCGTGGAGAGAGGAGCCCACACTGGAGCAGGTTTGCTCATAGGAGTTGTGACACTGTGGGGGGACCTACACTGGAACAATCTCTTCCTGAAGGACTGCACCCTATGGAAAGGATCCACGCTGGAGTAGTTTGTGAAGAACTGCAGCCCATGGGAAGGACTCACCTTGGAGAAGTTTGTGGAGGACTGTCTCCTGCGGGAGGGATCCCACGCTGGAGTAGGGGAAGAGTGTGAGGAGTCCTCCTCCCCCTGAGGAGGAAGGAGCAGCAGAGACAACAGGTGATGAACTGACAAGAACCCCCATTCCCCGTTCCCCTGTGCTGCTCAGGGGGAGGAGGTAGAGAAGTTGGGAATGAAGTTGAGCTGGGGAAGAAGGGAGGGGAAGATATTTAAAGATTTGGTTTTATTTTTCACTATTCTACTCTGATTGGTAAGAAATTAACCTCATTTCCCCAAGTTGAGTCTGTTTTGCCTGTGACGGTAATTTCTGAGTGATCTCCCTGTCCTTTTTTTGACCCATGAGCCTTTTGTTGTATTTTTTCTCCACTTGTCCAGTTGAGGAGGGGAGTCACAGAACGGCTTGGTGAGCACCTGGTGTCCAACCAAGGTCAACCCACCACAAGAATACGGACAATACCTGAGAATTTCTGGCAGGCTAAAGGGTCTGAATCTCCATCAGGCTTCAGGAAAGCTGAAAATAGGGAGCACATAATGTGGTCCTGCTGCAGGCTGAAGATGGAGAAAGGAGCAAACCATACATACAAGCTTGTCTCTTCCTAGCACAAGGCTTCCTCTTACTGAACATTTTGCAGTTAGATAAATGCAGGCCTACTAGTGTTAGGTATATGCACACGTGTAATTCCTTGTAATACATGTAATAGGTCCTGATGGTTCTTTCAGTTTTTCTGGTTTACATCTAACATAGAGTTGTATTTCTGAAGCTTGAGTGCATCTGTGGGAATATGCGGGTTTTTTTTCTATATGATAAGTGACTTAGAGATGCAGAGGGGGTGCCAAAGCTGAAACAAGAGTGGAAAGAGAAGTGAGTTGAGACTTGGTGAGGAGACGGGAGCAAATAGTTTTTGTTGTAAAAAAGTAGAGAGCTACTACTTTGACCAAATTTGCAAATGAGGAAAATTCAGAGCTGTAAGGTACTAAAATAATCCCATGTAAGAGCAAAGTCATTGAAAATTAAGCAAGTTATTTCATTTTAGAAAATGCCAGTTACATTTAACTTTCTCAAAATCAAAGCTTTTCATTCTCGTTTTCAAACCAGTTTAGAATGCTGATAAATGAAGCACTCTGCCTCTCTTCCCCCCAAGATAACAAAAAGCTGACACACAAGTAGGAGGATAATGATGTAGCTGCATGGCCTAGTGTCTGTCGCGGTAAGGGTTAATTTGTTTAATGAGTTTCATCTAGCATGGTTTGGTGTTTCTGTATTAGCTCCTCTTTTATTTCTTCTTTTTAGAACAACCACGCTTCAACTCCTTTAAAATATTTTGTCAATGACTTTTTAAAAAGAAAAATCGGCAAGCTTGTAAAAAAAGTTCAGTTATTTAAAGAATATACATTCTTTCCTTCCCCTTTTGCCACAGAGTTGTTCTGTGACTCTCTAGAATGGGGGGGGTTCTTCCTTTTTGTTCTGTTCATTCAGCACCTTTAGCAGAGTGGTTTTGATCAGTGCTTGAGCAGTAAATCTTCGACAAGTTCTGGTATTTTGAGTCCTACACGGAAGTTGCAGTTCTTGGTGTCTTCCGCTATGCCAGGTCTGTAGAACAGCTGCTGGTATCACTATAATGTGAAGCTACGTAGCGCAGTAAAGATGAATCAAAAAAGCTTCTTTAAAACTATCTTAGGTCAGCTAGAGAACAGTAAGACTCAGAACACCTTGTTTTAGATAAAGGGGGAATAAATCATTGATTTTATTTAAACTTCTCCTAACCTAGGAAGTGTATAGTTGATAGACGCCTGCAAAGCTTTGAGCTAGGTGATAACTGCAAACAGGCAGTTAATTTTCCAAATGTTTCCTATGTTCTCTGGTCAGTTTGTCTTATGCTTCTGCCTTAGCTGCAGAAGAATATAGTTGCCCTTTATTAAGGGTAGAGGAGAAAATGGAAATGTTTGAAGTTTTCAAAGTTTTATTTTGGGTTTTACTTCCTGTGGAAGCAAATATCTGGAAATGTAAGCGGTTTCTGACCAACAACAAAAAAAAAAAGGTAGGAAGGAAAACTAGTCACATAGAAATGAAAATAGAACATTTCTGTTACTGTGAAGCATGAGAATGTCAGGTTTTCAACGTCACATTATTATTCAGGATGGGAAAAGGAGAGAAGCAGTTTTCCATACAATCATATTGTGCAGTTTTCCAGGAAGATGATAATATTTTTTTCCTCTTAGTGGTTCCTTCAGTTTGCCTCCCTGAGCTCTTTTCCTGAGGGAGGACTGTTAGTATGAGTGTGTGTCTGTGGTGCTCTTGTTTTTGTTTTATCTTTGAAGCAACCCTCTCTGTGCTGTGGAGCTCAGTTACACCTTGTGTAACTTCTCAAAGCAGAGATCTGCCTGGGGTTCTGGTGGTTCCCTAAAGCTGCATATCCTGGGGGTCTGTGTCACCTTCTGACTAATCTTGCTTTCTGTCAAAGGGAATTAAAATGAACTGTGTCTTCTACTGAAGCTTTGGCCTCTGTTTTAAATGTTGACTATCAAAATGTCATTATTGTAACCTTCAGCAAGGTATTTAGCTAAATTGCCTTATGAACCTTGCAACAACAGCTTTTCGCTTAATTCTGTTCTAACTTGTTTGCAAGGATGGTTATTTGCATCTTTTGAGTTCAGTTTCCTTTATTGCTTTTCAGTGCACTCAACGTAAACTTTTAAAATCAGTCTACCTTAGCATAGGGAGGCTACAGAAAGAACACCATACTCTGAAAATCTAATAATAAAAAGTCATAAAGTTCACAATAATACATTTTTACAGTACAGTAGCTTGGACAAACGGAGCTTGAATCTTTGTTGCTTTTGAAATCTTTAGATATTGTTTCTGAAAGCTTTGGATACTTCAAGTATGAACCTCTTGAGTTTTTGTGATAAGTTGTTTGCAAGGTAAGTTTAAGAAAAGAGACTTGTCATATGCATGTATGGTTTCCTACAGGCTCTAGAAATGAAGAGGGAAGTTTTAAACATCTCCTTTTTCTTTTGGCTTTAGTAAGGATTGTGGAAGTTTGCCAATTTGTTTAAAGAACAGCCTACTTAAATAACATTGTTTTTATCTGCTATACAAGCATGTATTTCATCTTCATCTGGATGGTCCAAATCTAGAAACAGATTAACTTTCTCCCTGACAGCTGGTATTCATACCTGATAGTAAATAAGTACTCTAAGTTAATGTCTGTAAACTGTTACCTTATTTTTTAAAAACAATTCTTTACTGATGCTTGAGAAATGAAAAATGTCCATTCTTAAGCTGTCATTAGATGTTTTATATAGGAAAGAAGGAGGAGGGACAGTGTAGCTTCCTTGCGTGTCTCAGATCACATAAAGGAAGGAATATCTCAGCCTAAGATAATAATGGAGAAGGAAGTAGGATTTTCTTAATTTTCATTTACAAAGACTTTCAGAAAGTATGAGTCACACTATTAAACCTACTATGAACCTACTATTTTAAGAGACGATTTTCTCTAACATAGTCTTGACATTTTTGCAGGCCTTGGGTAGTCTCAAGCCCTTCGTTATTGTAGGTAAGTATATGGATCAGAACATTAACATCCATTTGTGGTAGTTCTTCACATTTAGTCACTATATCAACTCATAAGAATTTAACAGCTACGTAGTGATATTTCCTATGACAGCGAATGTTTTTGAACCTTTACAGATCATGAGCCAAGTTGAGGGACAACAGAAGAATCTTGTACAAGCCATTGAAGCTCTCCCAAGTTCTGGGCCCCTTTCTGCCTTGGATCAGGACTTGCTGCTTTTAAAAGCTACCTCTGCTGCCACCCTGAGCTGCCTTGGAGAATGCCTGAGTCTGTTACAGCAAAGCATGCATCAAGTGGGCCAGCATCATAACAGAACACTGTCATCAGGTGAGCTCTCTGAGGTATGATTTTATGTGTCTTGGGGTTTTTTGTTGTGATACTGAAGCAGGCAAATTTAACCATTCCCCAGAGAGGCAAGTTGGGCTGAGCAGCTTCTGAGCTTCTACAGCTTCAAGTATCGCTTTTATTCTTTTCCTAAAAAAAGATGCAAAATCTATTGAAATCAGAAGAGAGGAGGAAAACAGGTTGTCCTAAGTCTTCTCATGGAAATCAGGTTCTGAAAACATCAAGACAAAGAAAAAAGGGTGGCACGGAGAACAGCTAGATAAGCCTATGTTCTCAGTGACAGTGCAGAACCTGCTTGGTTGTTTTGTTTTTGCCCCTTTTTTTTTTTTTTTTTGAGATTGAAATCACAATGCAGATTTGTTTGCTAAAAATAAATGTAATATGCAATGCTACACTGAAAATCTTATTTCTCATTTTCTACACAGAAGGATGCTGCCGAGGCTGATTTATTCCAGTCTGTGGTTTTCTTTAAATCTGGAAAGAGTTCTCCATACTGCTATTTAAAAAAAAAAAAAAAAAAAAAAATCTGTGGCAATTTTTATGAACCTAAAATGTCAAACTGTGTTTCTGCGTTGAGCCCTGCAGGTGTGAACCTTTTGGTCCCCATGTAGCTTGCTTTTTTTTTTTTCAGTTCACACAGTTCTACGTCTCTGTCCATAATGTCAAATGTCAGACCTTTAGCTTTCTGAAAGGGTGGTCAGTGCTTTTCCGTACACAAACTTCACTACCTAGTCTAAGAGCAGGAGCAGGACTTGATATAAGAGGAGGAGCAGCAGCAGAACTCTGAATATGGGGTGGCTTTTTAAGATTTTTTTTCAGGTGCATCAACAGCATCCCTCCCCACCTGTCCCTGACCACAGGTTTACTACGGGGCAGGATGTGCCCTCAGGGCTGCTGAGACAGCTAGGTAGGAAGATCTCTGAAGAATTCCCATAGTAGGGAGGATAGAAATGTGAGAGAGTCAGCTGAGCAGTAGGCAAATGGTATAAAAAGGGTTCTTGGAAAAAACGGCGTAAAAGCTTTGCCACCTTTACCGTGGTATATTGTGACTTCCCTGCATTCAGAGTCTGATGTATTTCATAAAGGAACATAAATGAACAGAAAGTTTTCTTATTTTCTGTATTGTGGTTTTCTTGCAGAAAATGCAAATAAACCTTGCACATATCTCAACAGTAATGATAAAGTGCATTCAATTGAATTCTTTGATATAATTTCATTTCAGAAGAGAATTGTTTGGAGGAAAGATGAAAAGCATCCTTCAAAGAAAAGTCACTTTCTAGTTTCAAAGTCCCGGAAGGTTGTTTTTCATGTCCATGTGATCTAAGTGAACTGTCAGAGATAGATGACTTGAGTTGTATATGTCCTTGAATCTGTGTCCAGATAATATTCTGTTAAATCAGTGTCTGTATTTTGAGTTGATAATGATTTTTGAGGATCTGTGCACAAGAACAGAGAAAAGCAAGCATAACATTAGTAATTGCTGAAAGGGAATCGCGTATTTTTTTTTTGGGGAAAAAAAAAAAAGTGGAAAGCCACGACTAAATAAAATTTAATAAGTGTTTCTGTTTATTCCTCCTAAGCTTTTAAACTTGTACAAGAATCCTTTCAGGAATCAAAATTCTGTAGCACTGGTTCACACTAGCATCTTCGGTGTAGCTGTGAGAACTTGAATGCAAACAGTTAATTCTTTAGTGTGTACATGTGCTTATTCTTTGGTATGTAATTTTTTAAAAAAAAAAAAAAAAAATGAGGAACAAAAAGCTGCTGAAATATTTAATCTCTTCTCCCTGACTGAAAGAGTCTGTGAAAGGAATTTATCTTTTTTCCTTTTCTTTTCCCCAGGCCATGTTATGCAACACAGTTGCCTGAAAGAACCTGGCCTACAAGTCTTGATTACTGATTTTCCTATATACTTAATCTTGTCCAGGCATACTTTGATAGACTTAACATTTCTGCTGAGTAGGTAGAGTTTCAGAGTCATCAAAAGCCGCATAAACTCATACCCAATCAGTCTAATGCCTTTAAGTAATCCTCCAGCAAATTCTAATTCTGAGAGATGATGCATTTCATTTCAGTTCTGTGTCCTCCAGGTGGATTTTTTTTAATTTCATACCTAGAATGTGCAACCAAAAGATGACCTTTACTGTCACCTGGTGATACTGTCAGGTGAAAATGACTCTTGTTAGCTTAAATCCATATGTTCCTCTGATAGGAAGTATAAAATGCCTTTCCCATGAGATGCGATGGCCCTGTGCCCTATTGCCAAATGTTTCCAACCCAGTGCTGTCTCATTACCTGGTACATAGTGTCCAAGATGTTAGTGGGCATTGTGGGGCAGGGTTCACAGAATTTTGTAGAGAGAGGCAAGATAGGAATTTGGTAACTTCTTTTCTGGCTTCTAGCCTACAGCTCATGAAAGCAATCTAGTCCAACAAAGCCGCACAATCCTGCTCAGCGTGTGAAGTAATCAGTGGTTTAGCTTTGGTGATTTGAACTTACACCCGAGTTTACCTTCCTTCAGTATCAAAAGCTCTCACTGTTATGCCATAAAGGAAGAGAACTGCTTGAAAAGTAGCTATATATATATATATCTACTTTCTCTGCTTTCTGTGTACTTTTGCTCTCTTTGTGTCCTTGAAGTCTTTATGGCTGATTATACAAGGATTGCTGACTTCTCTGTGCACCGTAGGCCTTGCAATCTTACTGCTTCTAAGGCAAGGACATAAAGTAGCTGAATTTCTGACCTAGTACTTACAGAATGCACTCATGAAGATTATAATTAAATAGCAGCTATTTTAAGCAGATTTACAGACTTTTATTGTTTAAAAGCAAAAAAAAAAAATGTCGCTTGAAATATTTTTATTGATTTGTTTTCCAGTAATGTGAGTAGAAATAAAGCAGCTTGACATTCAGTTTAGTGGAGTCCTATTTGGAATCTGAGATTGTGTAGGTCTTGACTTTAAATATTTTTCTGGCATCCTTTGTCATGGAATAGTTTAAGGATGAGATGATTTTTCCTCTTCATTGTCATCTTTCTCATGAGTTGTCAGTTTTAGACCTCAAGCCTACAAGCAGACATGAAAATTAAACTGAAGTCTTCAATCTTGTCTTGAAGGGTAGTCAGTACATGTTTTATTTTCACTTCAAAGTTTCAAGGAAAGGTTTTTGTGATTGTCTTTTTTGTTAGCACTTGATTTTGGAAGTGCATCAAGAACAGTCAGCGAAGCAAAATCCTGTCTGTGTTTGTACTTTCGAGTCAAAATAATGTCAAATAGTGTCAAATTAATTTATAGGTGTCATTATTAAAGGTAAGTACATTGATCACTGGCTAAATTGGTTGTAGTTTTTTTTCTTTCATTGAAAAATGTGCAGGAGAAGGGTATTATTAGTTGAAAGTATTGGTTATATATAGTATGAGTTGAAGGTGAGGGATTGCATCTGTACAAGCTTCTTTGGGTTTGGCTCTTTCTGTAGGAGGGAGAAAAATGTCAAGGATTTTCCGACTGGCCAAGAATGTCACCACTTAGGTACAGGTAAAGTATTTGCTAAACAGCATTAAGAACCTTGTGACACATTAGAGTTCATTTGGCATGCAGACAGGAAATAGGTGCCTTTTAAAGATAAAAATGTGGAGAAGAAACTTTTATTTTCAGACTAAGAACGTTAGCATTATTTTTTCTACCTGTGTAGCCTTTGGCAAAAGAATATCTCTAGAGCCGATTGACTACTGTGGTTAACATCCTTCTCTCCCAAACTGCAAATGGAATAAACTTGAATGTTTATTTCAAAGTAGCTTTACCAGTTTATGTGGTGTTTTAAGTCTGTTTTTTTTTGTTGTTTTTTTTTTTTTAGTGTTTTGACAGACAGAATCCTGTCTCCTAGTAGAAGCCTGCACATATAAATCCATTCTTTTAGTCTGCGTTTCACATTAGCCATTCATTTGCTGAATAAAGCATCTCCCTGATAGGAATTTCCCCCCTATATTTTTCTGTTTCTCACTTGCGTACTTTTCCAAACTGTAAAATAAAATGTTTATTTTTTTCTGAGGATTTCTTAAAACAAAAGCCAAACCCATCCTATGAACTTTTGAGGTTCATTTGAATGTGCAAATGCTGCTTATATTGGTTCTCATGAGAGCAAATGGATTGAAGATGAATCTGGAGTCTGTGTGTGTGTGTACTTGAACTTTGTTTTAGCGGATTCTTTGTTGCCTCTTTTTTGGAGAAACTAAATGGACAAGAAGGACAAAATCTAGATGCTTTCAATTTGGTGACAAATGACAACTTTGTATCTCCTGCAGCTGAGATGGCAGGAGAAAGAAATGAGCAGAGGAGTCCTCTGCCTTGCTTAAACACCCCCGCTCACACAGCCCCGCACCCCAAATGCGTGTGGGCATGGAAGGGTGAGGAAAGAAGACAAGGGAGAACATAATCTTTGTTATTAGTGTAATTCAGTAAATTTGGCATGGTCAGTCAGGTCTCCCTTAAATGCATCATTGCTACACTTGGTTCTGTGGAGAATAACCAAAATAATTTGCTGTTCTATCTAAATGCTAATACATTGTTCCTCATATGTTGTTCTTTCTTTGGAAGGTAACAGTATTTTCTAGTCCCTGCACAGCATTAGCAAATACAACATTGTCTTTCTAACCTGAAAAGCAGATGTGCAGCTGCAACTTGCTGTTGCTTATTCAGCCTGCTGCAGGATTCAGCAGAGACACAAAGCTGTCGCATCCATCCCTGTCGGGGGAAGGAATCCAGATCTAATCTTGGTCTCTCCTTGGGGCTTGCCGTTGCATTGTTAAGGGGGGATTTGTTAGAGTATAGTTACAGTATATTGTAGCAGTTTTATCAATAGATGTTCGCTTACGTGTTAGATGTTAGCCAGGAAAAAAATGTAGGTTTTTTTTTTTTTTCAGTCTATAAACCAAGACCAGAGGACTTAAAAACAGAAGGGTTTTTGTTGTAGAATTTAGATAGATGTTAAGCATATTTCATGCATCAATTATCATCCAGAAACGTAGTTTGAAGGTATATCGGGTACCTAGAAAATCAGAACCAACAAAAAAAACCCCTTTCATTCTTGCTTAACCGAATCTCCTGTAGACCTTCTCTTTGGGGAGAGTTTCCCTCCCTCCTGCTGTGTGCACCTGTGTGCACCTCTCCTGAGGGCATTTGTGTGAAATCCAGCCTATTGTGCCATCTGAAATGGATAGGGGGTTTGTGAAAGTGAACTACAGCATTGCTATAGGGAAAGGAGAGTAGGTTGTGTCTGGATGCTGTACTTCTCTTATGTAGAAGGGTTTTCCTGTGCCTTGGTGGATTTGTCTGCTGGGTGTTCATCACAGTGGAAATCAGCATTGAGGGAAAGTGGGGAAGAAGCTCATTTTTGTGTGTGTGTGTGTTTGTTTTTTTTTTTTTATAAGAACTCTCATTTTCTGTGTATATATGCACTGAAATTCCAGAGGAATTGGGCTTGGGTTTTCGCTCCTGGAACCAACACTGTGCAGGTGGAAGAGATCTGGGTAATTTTACTAGTTGTGTATTTGGTATGTCCTTTCTAGTTTTTGCATAGTTTACTGCAGGAACAGATGTTTTCTTTTAATTAGTGTAATGCTTTGCATTGTCTTAAAGCAAACAGTAAAGTAGCTGAGTAGCTGTGAATGCTTTTATATAACTTGTGAGTGCCTTTCTGGAGAATTTCTTCAGAATTATGACATGTATCGAAGTAAGAATTGAATTTATCTGTCAGCTGTCTTTGGCTATGACTGAGAACAGAGCAAAAATCTGGCTTAAAAACAAAAGTCTGATGGCAGTTTCTTCCTACTCTTATCCAACTTTGAAGATAAACTTTCTTTCTCATAATATGTTTTGTTTTTATATCTTTTTATTCTTCTTGAAGTCTTTAAAAGAACAGAAATTGAACTAGTGATAGAAAATTTGGAGTGCCACAAAGAGGCAAAGACGGCAACTCCATTTTAGTTGATCAAGTTATTTACAGATGGCAGCTTAGTCTGCAGAGAGTAAATTCTAATAAAATAAATCGGTATGAGACAGAGAGCAAATAACTGTACTGTACTGTGATAAAGTGATTTCTACTATTGCAGATGAGAATGTTTTGGATACACAACTGGTAATGTAAGTGAAGTAGGAGCTATGTTGTTGTGTCTTTTCACTTTCTCTGTAGAGATTGTATTCTGATCTTAGTTGATTTTAAGATTGTTTCTGATGAGTCCTCTCTTCATACTTCGCTTTTGCCTGAAAGGTAGCCTGCTGTATTAGGTATATGGCAACTCCCTTGGGACAATACGAGAATGCTGATATCTGAGAGTAAGATTTGTAGATTAAAGATAGTCAAAGGTTCCCTGATGGCACTTTGAAAAAAAATTCCATGCCTAGTTTCAATTTCTTCGGAGAGCTGTCTTTTCATTTACTTAGGTTTCTGTGGCGTATGACTAATCGCTTTTACTGTATATGTCTCATCTGCGAAGTAGTCAAGTTCCAGGCAGACAGAATTTAACAAAGCAATTTTTCTCATATGTAGAGGTGTTAAGGAAACAGACGTGCTCTATCCTTTGGACCTTAACTCCTGGCATCCTATTGGTGTTGGCCAGGTCATAATGCGTTGTCAAGATCTGTTTAAAAATTAAGCTGACAAGATTTGTTGTTCTGTGGGAGTAGCATTTCCCATGGGACAGGTGGAAAAACATGCTTGTATAATTCTAAGTTACTGTTTCTGCAAGAGAGTCTCTAAAATGTGTGGAGAAAGATGAAGTAAATAGTCTTGTTATGGTGTGTTTGTACTGAAGAGAAGAACTAGTATAATGTATTTAAAAGTATGTAAGTGATGGTAAGTAAGTGTTCACACTTAAAAATTTCCCTGAAGCACTGTGTTTATTCAAGTGGGAGATTTTTCTTGTGCTTATTTAGAGAAATTAGATTTTAAAAAGAAATGTTAAATAAAAAAAAAATTATGGTGAAGGTCGAGTAGTGTGTGTGCAGAGACAAAATGGATAGCCCAAGGAAATGATCGGATGACTTAGTTTCAAACATTGGCATAAAGAGAAGTCTGTTCAATTTTTATTCTTTCTTTAGTCTCTGTAATAGGAGAATAGCAACAATAATCCAATATTCAGTTGCTTGACAGGGAGAAACAGAAAAATAGATTGAGATATGTTACTCCAGAGTAATGAAGAGTGAGAAGCATAGACATGTTCCCTAAAATTTTGTGACTGTTCAAAAGTGAAACAAGTTTGTTTTAAATTCTTGTCTTTTTTTTCCTCTTTGAAATCTGTAAACCATTAAAGAAATGTTACTCTTTGTGATGTTAATGGTTTACATACATGCAAATTCCCTCCAAGGAACCAACATTTTTATTTGAAATTTTCCAGTTTAGTTTTATTGTTCATGATATGCTTCCTTCCTCCCATCCAGCAAGTCTGTTTTGGATCTGCCAAAAGAGTCTTCAGATTATCCTCTGAATCAGAGCTTGTTTTGAAGGATCTGGAGTTTATCCTTTGTTCCTAGTAGCAAATTGCTCAAGAACTGAGGAGCAAGCAAAGAGATACTATGACTACAGTCACTGTGCTCTTCATTCCTTGCCATGTATACCAACAGCGTGTGTTGATTTAACTCCATCTTCGGAATGGGGGCACATCTTGGCTTCCTGATGTGTAGGACCAATGTGTAGAGCCAATCCAAGGAAATGACCCTTGGTTTGATACTTGCATTTTCTCTCACATGGTTCACATAACGAATGGGACTTAACATCTACCAGCATAGTCCTCAAAGCTATTGAAACCCCAGAAGCTTTGTAGTATGTGGCCTGACACCAGAGCCACAGAGATGTTCTTCCTTCGGCAATGGGGAATTTGAGTCATTGTGTGAAATATACATTTAAAAAAAAAAAAAAAAAGCTGGATTTTTTTTTTTCACTGTTGTTTACTCAGATCCTTGAAAATCATTTCATACTTAACTATTTGCTTATACTTTCTTCAGCAAAGATAGTGCCACAAAATCACGCAAAGCAAGTAGACCTGCGGTTTTGTTATGCCATCATAACTTAGTGCCATTTTAGCTGAGAGGAATGTGCTGTAATTATTTTATCTTAAGAATTTGGTAAGAGATCAGCTATAGGATTCATGGCCTCACCAGATCAAACCATTTACTTTCATTAGGAGGCAACCTCTGGTAACCCCTGGTGATACGGAGAAGATAAACTGCATGTTCCTTAATATACCTTGTGTTGATTTGGGTTGTCTTAAAAAGTTGTCAGTGATGAGAGGAGATCATCCTTCCTTGTGGCACTAGTTGTATTTTCATATACAAATTATAGTAATGACTGAAGAGCTGCAATTTTCATATGCATATCTCTGCATTTGATAGCAGTGTGTAATTAATAGCTGAAGTTTAAGCCCTATGCTGAGGGCTACGGATTCGAATGTTGATAATCAAGTTTTAGAGCAGTAAGGGAGATGCAACTTAGCTGATCCTTCTTCCTGTCTTGTCATCCTTAAATACTGGCCCATTCTGGAAATCGGGTGCCCTCAGATATAAGGGTTGTTCTGAGGTCTAGTTCTGTTTGATTCATATTACTGTGTATCTTTCTAATGAGACCTCTTCTAAACTGTGGTCTTGGGACCAGTAAAGCATTTTAGCATATAATCTAGAAAGAGCTTTTAACAGTACAGACAGAAATAAAATACAACTGCTAAGATTAAAACTCTGATTTCAGGAAGAAAAAATGGAGGGTTTACTTGGATAACTTCGTAACTGTGAAAATAGTGGATAGAGAACAGTTGCTTAATTGTCAAGGTACACCAGATCGTATAATCTTTATGTATAATTCTGTCTGGTGGTAGAAGTAACATTTAAAAGTCTTCCTTCACTGACTTTTTAAAAGAAATCTTTGTCACAGAAAAATCAGCATAGAAGATGCTAGAGTATTTTTGTTACTAAAGTAAAACTGTGCATTGAGGCAGAGAAGAGGTAGCAGTTTGTTTATATTAGTAGAATGATGAGATGAATGGGAGAAATCTGTAAGTTGTCTCTTGTAAGCTGACACCCATTTTCTCCTTCAGAAGGTATCCTGGGATGGCCTGGGCCCAAGTCGCACTCCACAGAGCAACTGAAAAATGGTGCCCTGAGCTCCTTATCATCTGCTAGTGCCAACATTACGTGGGCAATAGTACCATCTGCAGCCCAGGATGGACAGGCACTACAACCAAATACAGAGGTAAGCCGTTGGCCATTTCTGTTGTATCTGACATTTGACACTGGTTAGATGCAAACTATGGATGATGGTGTTTGTTAGTTGCTTATTGTATTTTTTTCTTTATAGTTTCCTCTTTGTTTGAAATTAGTTGTGAAAATGTGAAGCTTCCTGCAAAAGTGCACTCTAAAAACTAGAAAAATACGTTGATGATATTGCTGTGTGCTTTTGCTTCTCAGAGGTACTTTGCACAGCAGACTATGGCAAGTGTACAGCCTCTTTCCTAGTTGTAAAAGCAATTAACAGACTGTCAGTACAGATTTCTATTTTCTGGTGACAGAAGAAGCTGGGTTTTTTTCTATGCTGGTTTGAGATAGACAGGAGACGCTAGGACCACAACATTTGTTTGCTGCTTGTTCTTCCATGTTGCTGTTTGCTCTTGGGTGTCTCTCAAGTATAGCTGACTATTATTTGAGTTGGGAAACTGTATTGTTTTCTGACCCCTTTTTCTGTTAAGTGATTATGGGCAGAACTTGTCCACGTCATCCTGCACCAGCCTGTTGATTTGTGCTTTTGTGGCATTTACTTGGTAAAGGGCAGTTCTGAAGCATCGACTCTTTGAGGAGGCTCACAGCTGCGTATCAGGCATCTCATGCACTGAAAGTCTCCCACCATGCCACACTTCTCCAGCTTCTGTCTGCTTCGGTTACCAGTGCTGCCCACCAGGAAAACGCTGCACTCTGAGACCCCACAGATTATAGGGCACCTGGAGCACGTGAGACCTGGAGAACTGGGAAGAAGTTTTTGAGAGCTGAAGAAGCCCTTTTCTACTAGTGAATGCTTTTTGGCAATTGGAATGGCTTAAGTTCAATTATATCACCTTTAACAAAATGTGTAATGGCTGGGGACGTCAATAAAGCTGTTTGTTTTTCCAGTTCTTTTGTAGTACCTTAAATTGCATGTAGTTCAAAAATCCAGGGATACAGATTTTTTTTTTTTTTAATGTTACATGTTACTTTGGTCCTCTTCCAGATCTGTTCTTAGAAAGTAATTTCAAATTCTGTTAATTTTAGTGTCCATTAATCACAATGTTTAAATTACCTGTAATTGCTTTTTATTAGGAAGTTGTGTAATTTCTGTTTCAGATAAGCCAACTGCAGTTTTTATAGTATGTTTTTAAGACAAGAGGCTATTTCTAAGAATATTGTTTTGGGAGTTACTACTTTACTCACTGATACACTGTGATTTGTTTCATTAGGGTTTTTTTTAGATGTCTTTATTCTTGACAACTTGGTAAAGCCAAATGGGATGTGGAAGTATGGGCTTTGCAGCAAGAACATAAGGAGCAGCAGCTGATTTAACTCATCTCAGGGTATCATTTTGCAGTTGAGTTAAGCCATTTATGACTTGTTTTAAGTGACAGCTTTTTTTAAAGTGCAGTCTCCTCCCCTTCGTTTGAGAGATCCTGAGTCGTGCATGTGGCTTGAGGCGCTGCTTTGCTTGTGGAACTCATGACTTACTGAGAAGGGAGTACCCATGAAGAGCTGTGTATAAACGAGGGAGCACAGCACTGCTTGTAGTACAGAATCCTCACTGCTTTGTGGGCAATATTCCAGAAATCAGAAGCCTGCATTTGGAGACCCGCTGGCACTAGCCCTTAAAAACAAGAAAAAAGGGGGAGGGAGAGGGGAGAGAGAATAAATCAGTTTTTTAAGTTACGAAAAGCTCAGCTGAAGATGGTGTTTTTGGCAGAACAGTAAGTGGAATTTTGTGGATTGGTTTTGTTGCTTTTTTGAGCAATGTAACTGTTACCCTGCTAAGAATGCTGTCGGAGCCAGGTAGTCACCCAGGAGATGATGCTTCACACCCCCCAGAGTTATCAAAGGTGTTTGACTTAACACACTTTAACAATTCTCTGTGCGAGATTTAAGCATATTTTTAAATATATTCTGACCTGTTGTGTGTCCAAGGCAGGAGTCTAGGTTTGGCACTGACTAGCAAGTTCTTTTTCAAACTATAAAAGCTAATGTGCTTTTTTTCAAAGTATAAAAGCTAATGTAGCTGTGCTAATGACTTAGTATGTGTAGTTACGTATGAAAGCAACTGCAAATCATCACACTTGTTTCATAGTCCAGATTCATTGTTGTTTATAACCGTGGTGGCATCAGCAGAGAATGAGAAAATGCATCTAGATGGCACTGACAAATTTTTGACACTGAAGACCCTGATTTCATTTTTTTTTTTTTTTTGTTTATCTGGTAGCATCTTTTAGATGTAGAAGAAAAGAGGAATCCACAAGTGTCATTCAAATAAAGCTGATTTTTCTTAATGAGTTTCTTTCAAGAAACCCCAAACTAGACACTGGATGATCCTAATTTCTGAAGAAGTTGGTGGTGTATTAATGGGGCTCAGATTTCAAAATATACCTGCCAAAGGAAATGAACCTTGCTTTTACAGAAGTTATGAGAAGAGAGTGTTGGTTCCTCTATCAGTGCTGTCAAAATCAATTCCAGTTTCTTCTCTGACTGGACCTAGATTTTTATTTAAAAAAAGTCTGTACTTTTTATGAAGTAACCTCTATCTCTTAGTCAGAAGCCATACCCCAGAGGAATGGAAGAGAGCTTTTTGGCTAATACTCAGCATAATGTAGTAGATGTCCTGACCAGACAAATTGTGAATTGACCTGTAGTCGGAAATAGAAAAAGCCATTAAATTGCTACCCTTGAGGAACAACTAACTCAGCTGCTTATATCATAAAGCGTTATTTATAAGGGGAAGCTAATTTTAGGTATGTGGATCAGCGGTGATTTTAAAAAGAAAACAGAGATGTGTTTTATGTTGGGGGGGATGACTGCTGGGGAATCTTTCCCATAGAGCAGGCTGCCAGTGGCAGCAGCCTCCTGGCAACATGACCGAGTGCCGGAATGGGTTGAGTGATAGCTGTGTTAATTCCCAGCACAGCGTGTGGACACTTTGCAGCAGTGCATTAGGCAACATCATTAAAAAACCAATGACTTGTCTTCTGCTGTGTTTTTTAAATGTTTCTGAAGAAAGATGGATCTTTATAATTCTCCTCAGGAATAACAAGGCTCATCTGATGCCCTTTTCTTTAAATACTTAAGCATTCTTGAGGGATACAGTAGGTTCTGGAGTTGAGTTTTGATGCTGTAGGTAACTACAGTAAAACCTTTCTTTTTGGTCTGTTGCACTGTCAGGGTTTCAGGAATACAGAGTTTCTCTCATGGTGAAATAATGTAGCAGCTAAAGATTCTTCTATCTAGATAATGTGTTTACTTGCTTTTGTTGTTTAGGGTGTTTCTTGCTTTCAGATGCAGGGGTATCATTTGAGAGATTGTTTAAACTAGTTCAGAAAACATAAGGTTTTGTAGCAGATCCTATTTTCTTGTGTATTCCTTGCCTATTTTAGCATGTCATTTCTTGATGTTGTTTCATCTTCCCAGATGAGTTTTCTTTTAGGGTTGTGATATAGCACAGCATGAGGTTAAAGCCTATTATCTTAATTAAAAGAAGTAACCACTGACAGTGAAATGCTGGATCAAACACCTTTAAGCACTTTTGTCTTTTTATTATTTTTCATACTTTTTTTTTTTTTAATCAAGCCTCCAAGTTTTATTTAGTTTCCTTTTTTGGATTTTTTGATCCATGAACCAGGGATATGGGCTGAGCTGAACAGAACTATCCTCCATCTTGTGTGAGTTGATGTGAAATACTTTTGTGCATCTCCTAGTGAACCACTTCAGACTTTTTGGTGTAAGCTATGTTATAATTTCAAGGTATTATTTAGGGTTTTTTCCTTTAAAGCAAAACAGTACAAACCTGGTATGCAAATGCCAGAGTACACTCTTCAGAGCTGTGATGTGAACTTGGTCTGTGTTCAGTCTGCAGTAAACAGGACCCTGCTTCCTTCATTTAAGGGTTTATAATTTTGAAATTCCTTTCAAGAAGTGCTGGAATTGATTTAAAAAATTGAGTCTCATGGTAAATTCAGTTGTAATAAACTTGGTGCCTAAGTAGAATAAAGGTGTGAATCATGCCCATGTATGAGCTACTGTTGCAGTTCAGCTAATTGTCATTTTGGGTGTCAGAATTCCCCTTCCGAGCTGACAAAATGTAACTGCAGGCCAAATGCTTCCCCTGGCAGCCAAATACGAACGGGAAGCAGGCTGTTCTTGTGCACGACCTGAGACGGAAGGAATAACTTTCTTTTGATCTAACAGCTTAGTTAAGAATTATTACAAAAATCATGCTGCAGCTACATCTGCGATCTAGCTTTCTTCATGCCTTTAAAATTCTATGCAAGCTGATGCTTCCCATCCTGTGGATTTGGTATCTGTGCCATCTCTCTGCTGTCTTGTCCCTGACTTTCCCTTGCTTGTGTGCATGAGAAACTGTACACATGCTCCATATTGAAGTGTCTTTTTAATAGGATTGAAGTTTTAGCTCGGTAGGATTGAGGCTTTAGCTCTGTTTATCTAACTGCTAAACCAGATTTTAATTGTGATAGTGATGGCAAGGGCAGTCAAGTCCAGGTTACTATAGATATTCTGGTCCCCTAGATGATCTCAACCTTGATGTTTTCAACTGTAAAAAGAAACTGCGCTATTTATGGGAGGTACTGAATTGTTTAGTTCTTAATTTTAAAAGATTACGTGTTTTTGTCCAATGTCTTCAGGTGATAGTCGCTTTCAAGCTGAAGTTGTTTTCTATCTGTAGATTAAGATAGAAACATCCTAATATGATGATACTTCATCCTTTACAGAGGATGTAATAGCCTTTGGAGCTATTACAGAATGTGTTAGAGGTTTTAAGAAGTGATTTTAACAGTACTACTGCAACTTTAGAAACTAAGCTAGATACAGGAAATGATTTTCTAATTCAGTATTACCTTTTCTTTATACATCTGCATCTCAGCAGACTTGCCCAGGACTGTGGATTGTTTTCTAGTGTAAATTGTTCCTAGTGTTTCCTAGTTCCTTTTTGTACTTGACGTAAATCTGTGTAAT